ATCCCCAGTACAGAAAGAAAGAAAGAGGAGAGAAAAGAAAGGAAAAGAGGGGAAGGGGGAGCTGCAAACCACTGACTTAAATGCTAAAAAATAGTTAATTATTTAATTTTACAAGAATTCTGGAGGTGATCCCTAGCATTGGGTTCAATTGATTAATCATTTATGAAGGACCATAGATTTTTCCATTCTTAACCTTTGAGTTTCGTAGATGGATTTGTTTCCCCTGTAGGCCTAGTGTTTCATATGTGCAAGTGGCAATTAGAGATCTAGCATTTAAAGGTAGTAAACAGGGGTTTCACCTGAGCATCCAGGGAATATTCTTTCAAAACCTCTTTTGTTATTATCAAAAAATAGTCTTTCCAGAAGCAGACTTCCCATTGCATCTAATTAGTCTGAATTGGGTTACATGCCTAACTTATAAAACAATCCCCAGGAAAGGATTAGGATTCCATGCTTGGGTTGCATAAATCATGACTTGGACCCTAGGATTGATCTATTGCTTACCTGAATAAAATCAAAGGATAAAGAGGCTAATAACTGTTGAGTAGGCAACTAATAATAGCATTGTTACTAAACCTTATACACAATATGGTTTCTATGAAATAAAAAATTCTGCTTACTGAGAAAGGATGATTGATATTTTTATTTATGAGTGCAACCATATGGTGACAGCATGAATATAGCTTATAATAAATACTACCATCTACCAATTTTTATTTTTTCCTTATATGTTTTTATTAGTGCATTATAGTTATACATAGTAGTGGAGTTCATTGTGACATATTCACAAACATAATATGCTCTATCTTATTCCTCAGTATTTCCCTACTTTTCCAGTTTTTATAATTTTTTTTAAAAAGGGTTGCCTTTAAATTATGCACATAAAGATATAATTAAATATTTTATATAATTTTTTATTTTTCATAATTCAAATTCTCATTGGATGAAATAACACTATATTTGACTCATGATTAATTTTTTTTGATTATGCTAACTTTATCTTAGATTCTTGCTTATATTTGATTTTTACATAAATATTTACATAAAATCTTGCCTTCCTTCCTTATTTATTTATATCAAACACTGTATATAAGAGTAGGACTGTGGTTTGTTTCCTAAGGGTTCTTTTTTAGTCCAAAATGTCCTAAAATAAAATTTGCATTCACCTCTGGACCTTGGAGACATTCATTAAGAGAAAATTATTTGAACACTTCCAGAGGTACATTTTCCCAAGAACTTATTTCTTTTTGCCCATTTTAAAAGAAATAACATCAGGAAGACATGACTTTTATAATTACAAAAGAATTTTTGCAAGAGGAGATTTTTTAGGATTTGTTCACAAAAATTTGAGAATAGATGCCAGAGAGTGTTGAGTGGATCTAAATATGAAAGTCAAAGAATCTGAAAAGATTGGAATGACTATGAATAAGTTGAAAATCCTGGAGGACTAGAAACAGTCAATGAGTCTGTGTAGAGGAAAGGGATGGTAACAAGAGTTCCGCCCTGATAGGGTGGATCAAAAGGTGTTCTAGGAAACAGCAATATTTAAGTGGTTTTGTTAGTTAGCTTTCCATGGTTCTGACAAATAACTGAGATAAAGCAGTAAAGATTTATTTTGGTTCACAGTTTCAGAAGTTTCAGTTTGTGGTCACTTGGTCTGTGGCTTTGGGCCTGTGATGGCTCAATACATCATGGCAGAATATGGCAGAGGAGATCTGCTCACCTAATGGTACCTGGGATGTGGGGAGAGAGAGAGAGAAAGAAAGGGCCAACATCTCCTTCAAGGGCACACCTTCAATTATCTAACTTCCTTCCAGTAGGCCCCACCTCCTAAATATTTTTTCACTTCCCCACAGTGCCATAGCCTGGTGAGCAAGCCTACACATGGTACTTTGGGAAATGATCCAGAAGCAAACTATAAATGGATAACCAAGTTATTGGATACAGAATATGCAATGCATATGCCTCATTTTCTATTTTTATCAAGCAAAACTTTAGTAGATTTTATATCACTCACCAATGCTTCCTTACACTTTGGTTTTATTTGGGGTAGGAGAGAGCATTCAAATTCATGTTGAGGTTTTGTTTTCAGTATCAACAAAGGAAACTACAGAAAGAAAATATAAGGGTTTTAGGCCCATGAGAAGTTTAGTCCCTAGAAAGTTTAGAAATTTTGTAGATGTTTCTCAAGGTCATAAGCTGAGGGATGGAGAAATTTCTATCTAAATTTTAAATGGTAGAGAGGCCTTCACTGCAACCTGGAGTTACACCTGGGTTAGCCAATGAGGTGCTTGAATTGTCTTTGAGGTTCAAGGGAGAAAACATCTTATGTTTTAGAAATTCTATATTTTACTTAGAAGAGAGACTTCTACCTTTAACACACTTTAATTAATTAGGGATGCTATGAGACTGTCGCCCACATCCTTTGCTGGTATTCCATGTCCCTTGCTGGCAATGGAATCTGGACCACTCTGCATGGTTTGGGGTGGTGAAAAGACCACACAGGCACTGAAGTAATTTTTTTACAAAGTGAGATTTGGGGGCTGAACGACTCTACAACCTCAAGGGTCCACTTCAAAGCTGAAAGGCAAGAGAGTGAGTGCACCTGGAATCTCTGTATTTATAGGGAAAAACAATAAAGGATTTTCGATATAATATTCTACACTAATTAAAGCAGGGGATAAGGTTTCAAGGGGGGATTGCCCAATCCCACTGGGTAACACTCAAGACCAGAGCTAAAGCAAACTTCTTTGTCTAGCGAAGGTGAAGGCCACTTGCTTTACCCAGTTCATAGCTTTCGATGCCAGACTGACACCCCCTTTACTCAAGGCTGAGAGGGGATACTTAGCTCATCAGCAGGGCAGCCTTCCACTTATTCCCCCATTTTGCTTTGGAAGAATACATGATGAGCTGTTATCTCAAGTTCCCGGATTCTTGTTCTGAGGGCACAACATTCATCACAATACAAAAGAGAATTAATAGCATAGATAACATCCCAATAATATACCATGCAGAATGTCTCAGCATGTTAATTAAAGCCATTTAACTCTTGAAGTATTTCATCAGCTAGAGAAGTAGGATCCAATAGATCAATTTTACTTTTTGAATATCCTAGATGTGGTAGTATAACTCCAAAAGATTCAGGCTATTATTATTGTTCTGCCAAATATCCAATAGGTTTTCAGCCATTTTCCAATCCATCGGGAAGCATTGTATTTGGCTGCAGTAACACAGGCATATTTATAGTCAACAAGGCACTTAAGCCTTTTCTTAAACTTGAGAGCAGAAAGCTCATTACCAATATTTATGACAGAGGCTTCTAGAGCATTCAACTTAGTTTCAATCTTTTCATCAATATTTATCTGATTATGGAGGGCTTTGGAAGTATTTTGAGCCAAATTATTAACAAAAGTCTTATGTTGTATTTTGAGATATAGCCACCAAGGCTGTGACCATGGAAGCAATGAATGAAATCAAAGCAGCCACTCCAAAGATTATGAGACTAAGAGCTCGCTTAGGTCTGATCAACTGAACATACATCTGTTGCAAAACCTGAACGCCAGCATCAGCATACCATGGTTCTGAAATGTTGGCTGGTAAAAAGACAATAAAGGGCTGCTGAAATATCAATGTTCCCTTCCCTCTATTATATATTTAGTGATACAATTAGTTAAATTGAATTTTTTACAGGTTACAAGATATTTATTATCCTTTCTTTTAACTCTCACGTTTCCAATAATTAAAGCATAAGGAGATTGAACATAGGCCCCCAGGCCATAGCAGGAACCCTCCTTACAGTTCCCGCCTATGAAATCAAGCATAGGTCCATCAGTATAATGCAAAAAAAAAATCTGAGGCAGCAATTAAGCACCAAACATCCTTCTGGGTGCCACCTTCACTGAAGGTCAAGATATTACCAACAAAGCTTCCAGGGATTATGGCATCCTTGTGTAATTGTCTTTTGTTAATTCTAGGGGACCAGTATAAAATATAACCACTATTTTAGACATTTTATGTTGTACTGGCAAGGTATTTGCACAATCGATTCATTTAGGAAAGGAGCCGAATTCTATTGCAGAATGATTAGGACAGTGAGATATTGGAGGACCTTCTGAGGAAATGACCTGCTTGTTATGAGAAAGTTCCATTTTTAATAACTCTTCTAACATATGGCTTTGAGTCCCAGGGGCCAGTATGACTGGCTGGTCTAGGCCCCCCATATGCTGTTTTTTTCCTCGAATGATACCCCTAGACAGCCAGCATGCTTATCATGGGACCAACATATGGGTAGCTGACTACTATAACCAGTATATTTAAATCCAGTCATGTGGATGGGAGTAATATAGGTATCTGAAAAAGCCTCCCATCATATAAGTATCAATTGTAAGAACTGGGATGGATTATTCAGTCCACACTGCTGGGTGTACTAAAGGTGGATCTGGAAAATATGTCCAATAGTTTCTCCCTGTACCCCATTTACCTGACAGCTCAACAGAGCGAGCATTTCTACAAACATCGTAGCTGGAGACTTAGTTCTTCCTTGTTGCTGAACCATCTGTTCAGCCTGTAGCATTAGGTTCTTCAGCTGTTTCCATGATGGTAGTTTCAATGTTGGGTTGCTCTGGGCCTTCTTTGTTCCCCTCCTCCTTTGTAGCTTCCTCTTCTTTCTGGGGGCCAGAGCTGACATCTCTGGATTGATCTTTAGCCATTTGAACCTTGGCTCTCAGTCCTCCATGTCTAATGGCACATTCAGGTACCCAAGTAGGATGAAATACACCTTCTGGGAAAACACAAGCATGACCTCTACCCCACATTATCACTGGATCTGGTCCTTTACATTGACCTGTTTGTAAATCTTTCCACCAAACCTGACCTGTTGCAGTGGAAGACATTTTTTGCTCATCTTCAGAGCTACAATTTAGAAAATGTAAAACAAACAAAACATGATTAAGTTTATTTTGGGGGTTCTTATTTTCCCTTTTCTGTTTTTGTGATTGTAGCCTAATAGATGAATGATCTTGTTCTACGATGGCTTGACCTTGAGGATTATAAGGAATACTGTTTTATGGTCAATATGAAAAAGATGGCAAAACTGCTGAAAAGAAGAACTAGTACAAGCTGGAGCATTATCAGTTTTAATATGTAAAGGACATCCCAATGCTGCAAAAGCAGCCAAGCAATGAGAAATAACATGTTGAGTATTTTCATTTACATGAGTTGTGGCAAAAATAAATCTAGAATAAGTATCAACAATAACATAAACATAACATTGCTTGCCAAATTAGGGGATGTGAGTTACATCCATTTGCCATAACTGATTTGGCCGTAAACCATGGGGATTAACCCCATTTGGTGAAGATGGAATATATATAACACATTGTGGGCATTGATATGCAATTCGATGAACTTGTTCCCTAGTAATATTAATTTTTTATGTAAACTAGAAGCATTTTGATGATGCAAAGAATGTGAGGCTTATGCACAATCATATAAAGACATTTGTTGACAAACAGTAACAAGTTTATCAATCTTATCATTACCTGATGCTAAATGTCCTGGAAGGTTAGAATGTGCTTATATATGGCCTATGAAACACAGATGGTGACACATTTGAATTGTATTTTGTAAAGTATAAACAAATTAAATAAAGTAAAACAAATTAAATAACTCTTGTGGTGATGTGTACCTAATAGTCAATGTTTCAATATTTTTCATAACTCCAACTACATATAAACTATCAGAATAGATACTGATTGGCTCATTTGCAAAATGAATTAAAGCACAAATGAGAGCTTGATATTCTGCTCGTTGTGCAGAAGCATATAATGTCTGTATTACCTCTGTATGAGCATGGCTATAGAAACCTGCTTTACCTGAACTTGACCTATCAGTACATAGTGTTAGTGCTCCAACTATTGGTTGAGCATGTACAATTTTTGGTAAAATAAATGTAGTTACTAAAGCAGATTAAATAATTTTATCATGAGGTTAGTGACTTTCTATTTGAGTAGGTAAATTAGCAAAAGCTATTTGCCAAATATTAGAAGTTTGGCAAAGCCAGTCATGCTATTGAGTAGAAAAGGGAATAACAATAATATTAGGTTCTGACCCTACCATCTGTAAAACTCATGTTCTTCCTTTAGTAACTAACTGAGCAATAAAGTCATGGAATGGAGTCAACGACTTTTGAGGAGAATGAGCTATGTGGAGCCATTCAATAATTCCCAACGTTTGCCATATTGCTTCTATAGGAGTATGAACAGTGGGAAATGTTAGTAAATATATAGGCTCCTGTGGGTTAATTCAATTAAGCTGTGCAGTCTTAATAGCAGATTCAACCTTTTAAAAGTCAATCCTTGCTTCTGTTGTAATTTGATAAGGAGAAGTTGGAGAAGGATCCCCCTGCAAAATCTGAAACAAAGAACTCAAATTTGCAGTGGTTCATTTTAAACTTGGTCACAACCAATTGATATCACCTAGTAACTCTTGAAAGTCATTAAGAGTATGTAAACCATCAACTCTTATTTGTAGATTTTGTGGACAAATTATGTGTCCTTCAATTACATTTCCTAAATATTGAAGAGAAGAGGTCCTTTGCACTTTTTAGGTGCTATGCATAAACCCATTGCAGTAAGTGAAGTTTCTAACTGAGCAAAAAAATTTTAAAGTATATCTGGACTAGCACAAGCCAAAACAATATCATACATGTAATGGGTAATATATGCATCAAGGAATTCTTTTCTTACAGGAGCAATAGCCTGAGTGACAAAGTTCTGACAAAGCACTGGGCTATTACATATAATTTGAGGCATAACTTTCCAGTAATATCTATTAACTGGTTCTTTGAAATTTATAGCTGAGATGCTAAAAGAAAATCTCTTACAATCATCTGGATGCAAGGGTATAGTGGAAAAACAATCCTTTAAATCTATTACCATTAAATGATAATCAAAAGGGAGACCTGTAGGAGAAGGAAGCCCAGGCTGTAATTCTCCCATAGGATCCATAATGTGATTAATTGCTCTAATCTCCATTTGCCAGATTTTTTCTTAACCAAAAAAACTGGAGTATTCCAGGGACTAAAAGTAGGTTCTATATGACCAGCTTGGAGTTGTTCTTGGACTGAAATATTGGCTATTTGAAGTTTCTCCCCTGTTAAGGGCCACTGACTAACACAAATTGGCTCTTCTGTAAGCCAGCTAATTTTTTCTACTGTTTTGTGTGCCAAAGGGGAAGTCAGTTCCCCCATTAAAATTTTTGACTGGGTGAATTAAATGAATTAAATTGTCTTCACTGAGAAGACTGAGTCATAGGTAAATACCCTTCTTGTTGACTCCCTTTAAATCCCTTAGGGGAAATAAATCCTGGATTAAGTATCTGAGGTAACACCATGGAATTAGGAGTTATTAATAAATAACACACCTAGGCTACTTAAAACATCTCATCCCCACAAATTTACTGGCAAGGTATCGAGGACATAAGGTTTAAAAAGTCCCACATTGCCATCCTTATCTTCCCATCAGAGGTGTTGGGCACTCTGAGCAGACTGAGAGATTTGGCCAATCTCTTCTAAACTGGCAGGTGCAATATGCAAAGGCCACTTTGGGAGCCAGACAGAACCTGCTGGAAATAACTGATTTATCAGCTCCTTTATCTTCTCCGCCTCTGAAATTTTTATGGTTGATTTTAAGATCCAGTAGAGGGCGCTCTTGCTTAATCAATTGAGCCCAATAAGCCTGGTCTGGGGACCCAGAAGTTGGAATTCTGCATAGATCATCCACTAGACCTCTCTCTGCAGAGCAGCAAGGCAGAAAAATTATCTGTGCAATTATATCCTTAGGAGAAAGCCAAATAATGCAATTTGCTTGAACCCTAATATTATTAATCTTCCCATCAAAATTTGTATCAGTAACACTCGGTAATACTTGAATTCCTTTCTGAGTTAAATTGCTTCTTCCCAATATTAAACCTATCAAATCTGGCAGTGGTGGCCTATAAATCGCTGTAGGGATTAACTTGGGGCCCATCTTAGGAATCAGTGCAAGGTCAGGCAAGGGCCACCAAAAGGAGGCAGTTTTTAAAAGGCTGCTGAGCGAGACTATTGAGATTTTGCTCCTGGGTGAAACTCTCAGACCCACAGAGTGGGTCTAAGAAGAAGTGCGCTGGGGCTGGACGGGACTGGAATTTTTATTGGGCTTAGGGCAGGAAGGAAGGGCTTGGGATAGGAAAAGGGATTTTTTTTTCTACTGGGGTTGATAGGGGAGCTGGCTAAGACCCAGGATTGGCTAGGAGACCCCGCTGATTAACAGGCTCTTCTCCTGGCACCTGATTGGTGGTTCTTTCGAGAGCTTAATCATCTCAAACTGACCTAACATCCTGGCCTTTTTGATGATATAGGGTGGTGAATTTTATCTGGCTATTTCCTGCTGGCTAGGGGTGCTGGAGGGAAGGGGTGGCTCGGGTGTTGGTTTGGTGGCAAGGCGACTGTAGGGGTGAAGGAGCATCTGGTTGTAGGTCACTCTGGCAATTTCACCCACACATTTTCATGGGAACCCGAGGAGACAGGGAGCAATCATTAAAAGAAATCCTATTAGTAATATACAAGTGAGAATGGGAGTCAGCCATGTTTAGCCAGCCTGGCCAAGGGGAGCATTGCTACACATATGTGGGACAAGGTGGCTCAGTTGAACCCAGTAATGTTAAGGGTGACCATCCAGTTGCAGCCAGTGGGAGGGCAATCACCTTGACCCATAAACGGAGAGTGGGTAGTGCCATCCTGCTGCCATGTAGCTTGGATGTAGAAGTCCATCTGTGGGTTGGGATAGAAGCTTGAGAGAGATTAATGATTGGTAAAAGAAGAAGAGGGTTGGCGAGAAATCTTGAGTTTGGTGGGCCCCAGCGTGGTGGAATTCCAGGACTGGACATTTAGAACAGGTGCTTTTTTAAGACAGGAGACATGGTACCAGGGGGAGTGGCCTAAAAGCTTGGCTGTCACATTCCTCGTGGCTAAAACACTCAGGGTCACTCCAGGGGAACTGAGCCACGTGAAATAACCACACAAGTACAGAGATACTTTTTTCTTTGGGGGTCTTGTGACGGTTCATCTGACCTTAAGGGTCCGAAGAAAGAGAGAGCGAGCAAGTGCTGACCCCTTTTATTGAGGAGAAGCCATTCAAATGAGGCAAGGGGTCAGGTTTCAGGGGGCTGAGTCTAGCTTCATGATGTCTGCTGTCAGCAGGTTGACTGACACCTAGGAAGGCCACACTCAAAAGCAGATCAAGAGAAGGGGATCACAAAGGGCTTTTCCATGGAATATTCTATCCCAACCAGGGCAAAGGGGTAATGTCACAAAGGAACAGGTGAGCGTAGATTGATCCATGGGGCTGCAGGAAGGCACACCTATGCATGAAGACAGATTCTGCTACTTCAAGCATCAGGGCAGCATCTTAGGCCACTACAAAGATGACCAGGTCACTATGAAAGTAACTGACAGAGCCTCTACCAATCACGGGAAGGAAAATGCTAGTCATTCAGTGAAACTGCCTCCCACGCTTGGCCACTGTTGGGATAGTAAGTATGACTGTATGGGGTCCCATCCAGAGAGGTTCCAATGATTGAGGATGCAGCTCTTGAAGTAAGACTGCGTCACCCAGTTGAAGAGGGTCTGATTCAGTTTGTGGTTGTGCTAGGATTGAGGTAACTGATGGCGCAGGCAGATACCGGTCTGCATGTTCCCTTAGGAGTTTGTGTGGAAGTATGAGATAGGGCAGGTAGGACACAAGGGGAGGAGGAGTGACTGGAAAGCTTTGGTTGATTAAAAAAGGGTGCCCATAGAGTAGCTCAAAGGAGCTAAGACCTGAGGGGGCCTGAATTTGGATGAGGAGCAATGTCAGGAGATTGGGCCAGGACAGCCTGAGTTCAATCGCAAGTTTAGGAAGATGATCCTTGAGAATGCCATTAGCCCTCTCAACCTTACCCGATGATTGGGGTCGGTAGGGGATCTGCAGCCTCCAAGTGATGTTGGAGACTAGTTAAATAACCTGAGAAGTGAAGGCCGGACCATTGTCCACTGGATGGAGGTGGGAAGTCCAAACCTGGAAATGATCTGCTCAATGAGGATGGAGGAGCATTTTCCCTGGAGGTAGGGAAGATTTCTGTTCAACTGTAAGAGAGTGCTATTTCCCAAGTCACAAGCAGTTAGATCCTGTACCTCTTGCCTAAAGAGGTAGGGACTGTCCCTGAATGAGTTCCAAGGCTGGTTGGAGCCCCAAGCTCCCAGCCTTTGAGCCAAAAATGTCTTAGAGGGATGGTAAATTTGGACATGCACATAAGGGAGCATGAAGAAACAGCCTATAGAATGGAAGAACAAAAACCAGTTACTTTTCCAAAAGAGATTGATATCTGGAATATATAAAGAAATAAAAAAAATCAACACCAAAAAGCCAAATAACCTAGTCAATAAATGTGCATATGAACTGAACAGACATTTCTCAAAGTAAGTACAAGTGGTCAACAACTGTATGAAAAAAAATATTCAACATCTTTAGATATCAGGGAAATTCAAATCAAAACTACCTTGAGGGGCTGGGATTGTAGCTCAGTGGTTGAGTAC